AGCTCTGCCTGGTGTACCAGTAACTATCCGACCTTTGCAACAGCCTCGGAAGGAAAAGGCTGTGGTCAGCCCCATTTTACAGATGTGGAAACTGAGGCACCACCAAGAGAATCCGCAGCAGGCTCTGGAGTCCGGGGGTGGGACGGGTACAGGGCAGGTCGGGAGGGCACCTGGATGGAACTGGACGACCCTTCACACTTCTGCCTACAGAAAGCTGGACGCCTTCATCTATGACGCAGCCGTGCTCAACTATATGGCCCGCAAAGACGAGGGCTGCAAGCTGGTTACCATCGGCTCTGGCAAGGTCTTTGCCACCACCGGCTATGGCATCGCGCTGCACAAGGGCTCCCGCTGGAAGCGGCCCATTGATCTGGCACTGCTGCAGTTTCTGGGGGACGGTGCGGCCAGGCGCAGGGGGGCCTCCATGAGGTGGGGTTGGGGTGGGTGGGTGGCAAGTCCCCTGAGTCCCTGGCAAGGCGGAGAGGAGGGTCTGGATGCCAGGGGCTAGGTCCCAAGCTGTCACAGAGAGGGACGGGTCCTCAGGGGTTGCCCTGGCAGGTGGGGTGACGTCTGACCCCCTTCGCAGATGAGATCGAGATGCTGGAGCGGCTTTGGCTGTCCGGGATCTGCCACAACGACAAGATCGAGGTCATGAGCAGTAAGCTGGACATCGACAACATGGCAGGGGTCTTCTACATGCTCCTGGTGGCCATGGGCCTCTCCCTGCTGGTCTTCGCATGGGAGCACCTGGTCTACTGGCGCCTCCGCCACTGCCTGGGGCCCACCCACCGCATGGACTTCCTGCTGGCCTTCTCCAGGGTATGGGGGCCTGGGGCACGGGTGCGCAGGAAGGGGTGGCAGACCGGAAGAGTGTGAGGGGGACTCATGCATGGGGAGAGAGGAGCAGCTAGAGACTGGAGGAGGCACATGGGGAGGGATGCATGGAGGGACAGGAAACACAGGATAGAGGTTTGGAGAGATCCAGGGACAAGGAAGTGGTGAGGGGAGCATGGAGAGGGGGAAGCAGGGCCGCCCAGGTGGGAATGGCGGGCCAGGCACCACGCCCACCACCCCTCGGCTCCCCGCAGGGCATGTACAGCTGCTGCAGCGCAGAGGCCGCCCCACCGCCGGCCAAGCCCCCGCCACCGCCGCAGCCG